TGGGGCTGGGGTTAGGGCAGTATAGGCTATAATTTAGAGATTGTGTTTGCTTTGGATCAAGAATAACCAGCAAATACATTCCATACAAAATGTGCTAATAAAATTGTCTCTTTGTAGAATCATAGTACAGCTCATTACACTATTAAAACCATTTCATAACCCACCTATTCAACATCCCAAGCTTTTTATCCAAATATCCAAACACAAAACAGTAAATTCTTAACATAGAAAGGTAAGTTGTCCCATGATTACCTCAGGACAAACTAAGGTGAAGGCTAGGTCCTGGAGTAATTTCAAAAGGAATTTGTTCAACTCAAACATCAAGATTCAGCCACAAATCATTTGTAAGGAGACATACAAAGCAAGATACTTATATTTAGTTGTTTAGCCATTCTTAGACTTTAAAAAGCACAGATTTCTAGTTTAAAAGTACAGGGTTGTTTAATTCATCTTTTTTGGTGTGTGCCAGGGAATGAATCCAGGGGTGCTACCACTGAGCCTAATCCTCTTTTATTTTTTATTTTGAGACAGTCTTGCTAAATTGCTTAAGGCTTCACTGAGTTGCTGTGAACTGAGTCTGGCTTTGAACTCACGACCCTCCTGCCTCAGCCTCCCAAGCCACTGGGATTTAAAATAATTGCGCACTACCACGCTAGACGAGTTGTTCAACCCATCTTTTAAAATGACCTGTAGGTCAAGTGATTCTTCCATTCTGTCTCCCTTAAGATAAATAAATAACAAGGACATCCATTCCATCTTACAGGTTAAGAAAGCAAGTAACTAGGCTGAATCTTGACAAAAATGCTTCAACTGTATTTTTTAAATTCAATATTTCAAAGTATCATTCCCTTAATAAGGAAACGAGTTATACAAAAATCTGAGAGGACATGTCTTGCTATGGTAGAGCTTCATCAAGTATCAGGTAGCAGTCATTGATGTCTAAGAACTTCCTAAGAGACCCATGTTCAATGAGTTTTTATCTAGCTTCCTGGTCATTATGGTCTCTGAGTCTCAACAATCCTCCTCCAAGTGACAGAGATTCCATGAACGATCATTCACCACATGCTCATTCATTGACTTGCTTAACAGTTAGACCAACCAAAAACATTAGGCTGTGGTTAGCCCAGGGGTCCAAAGAAGAGTAAGCTATATCTAGAGAGGAAGGTGGGTCTGCAGACACACAAGTCCCAAGGCAGTCTCTACTCCATTCAGTAGAGAAAGATGCTCAGGGGCTCAGGAAGCAAATGAAGGGCATACGGAGCCAGCTTTAACCAAGTCACTGTCCCAAGACTCCACAAAGAGAGGCTATTTGATCTAAGTCTAAGTAAATGAACAGAAGGTCACCAGCTGGTGGAAGGAAGCATGGGATCTGCGGGGCATTCAAAGTAGAAGACTTAGCATGCTAACAACACAAGTCGGGAGACATTTGTGACTAGCAGCAGCAGCAGTAAAGATGAACTCAGAAGAATGATTAGAGCTGATTCAGGAAGATGTGTGCCTCAAAGCTGGGGATTTTGCCCATGGGAAAGGGGCAGGTACAGCCCTATGGATCAGTGTTTTAGAAAAAGTCATTCTATACACACATTCAAGGAAGCAGGGAAATTGCATGATAGACCATTTGCCCCCCCAAAAAATGCATAATTTATTTTGCTTACTATATTTCTGAAACTCCCCCTCTCTTCGGTCCTCCCCAAACACCTTTTTATTACTAGATTACTAAGAATTCTTAAGCTCCAAATAATGCAAATACCTAGCTTTTTGAAACATTAAGATATCAATCTGGAAAGTAGAAGTAGAAAATATCTAATCACTACCTGAAAGAAAAAAAAAATGAAATGTAACCTTTTGGATAGATCATTGTTTCTGTAGAATTTAGTGGGTTGGAGATGGGTGTCTTTTCTTTCTTTCTTTTTTTAACCTGAGTTACTTTTAAAATTTGCCTTCATTGACAAGCACATACTAGGTGGAAATTCATTTACAAAAAAAGAAAAAAAAAAACAGACCAGTTGGGCACAGGGGCACATACCTGTGAACCCAGCAATTTGGGAGGAAGAGACAGGAGGACCACAAGTTTGAGGCCAGCCTCAGTAATTTGTTGAGACCCTCTACAACATATTGAGCCCCCCTCTCAAAATTGAAAATTAAGTAAAATAAAAAGGACTGGGGATGTAGTTCAGTGGTAAAATATCCCTGGGTTCAATCCCCAATACCAAAAAGTAAAAAGAACCAAAAACATAGACCAAAGGCAGTAGAGATTAAGCAACTGGCAGTTATCGTTTATTTAAAAAAAAAAAAATCCGAGTTCCCTTTTAAAACAAAGAAGTGTGTATCTGCTTAGTAACTATAGTGCTAATCAAGGCAATCACACATCATTCAGAGTTATCACAAACTGGCATTTCCCACTGCAGTTCCAACGAGAGATGTGTGTGAAAGGTGTACACCCACACTTTAACATGGCTTGCAATGTTCCCTGAAAGCAGCTCCTAAGTTATTTTTACACCTGCCACAAAAGAGGAGGAGGCTTTATTTCTCCGGTTTGCTTACTTGATCCCTGCTCCTCACACAATCTCAGTCTGGATGGAGTCAAACTTGGCAACGGCTGTGACCAGCAGCTCCCGGCACTGGCTGATGTTCTCCACATGCAGCTGTCTTGCTCTTCCTGGCCCTGAGAATGGACTGCTTCACTTTTCCACAGGAATTCTTAGGGTCTGTATAACTGACAAACTGAAAGCCTTTTACAGATAACCCTGCAATAGTAGCTATAAATTCTCACCTTCAGCTTACAACTAGATTGGCCTATGGATCGATTCAAATTCAGGAAAACATTCAAGGTTATACTTGAAATAGTAATTTTTCAGATTTTTGCATTTACTATTATTACATGAAGACAAACACCATACACTTAGTAAGACCAGAGTTTCATGCTTTAAAATATGCTTTGAAGGTGGGCATGGTGGCACATGCCTGTAAACCCAGCAGCTCAGGAGGCTGAGGCAGGAGGATCGGGAGGTCAAAGCCAGCTTCAGCAACAGCGATTCATTGAGACCTTGCTTCTAAATAAAATATAAAATAGGGCTGGGGATGTGGCCCATTGGCCAAGTACCTCTGAGTTCAATACCTGGTAACAACAACGACAACACCAAAAAAAAAAAACACTTTAAATATATGCTTCTAGATGGAGTCCTCAAAAAGGTTGTTAATTCCCCAGGAGCCAATAAACAGATAACATTCCAGATACCCTCTAAAGTGGATATAAGGAGAGATCAAGAAAGGAACTAAAGTGGAGCACCAACAGATCAGAAAAGTCAGGACATCATAATTTCACAAAGTTCTATTTAAAAAAAAAAAAAAAAGTATTAATTTGCTTCTTTCTCCTTTGGATTCAAATCAAAACTTTTTGCTGTTGTTTGTTGTAGACCGGGTCTCGCTATGTTGCCCAGGCTGACCTGCAAATCCTGGGCTCAGCAATCCTCCTGCCTCAGCCTAGCGGGTAGTTGAGACTACACATGCACATCATCATATGTGGTGTCAGGGTTTAATTGAGTTTCAGACAATCGCCAAGGGTTTTAGTTCAGAGGCTTCACCAAAGGGATCTAAGAACATGGTAGGTGTTGTAAAACTGCGCTATGTTAAGGCATTCAGGAAAAGAACAAACTGCATTTGAACCTACATGCTGGGAGTCTGCAACCATCAAGGTGGTTACGGTCATCCTTTGTAAACCAAGCACAACCAAAGGTAAGCTTTTAAGAATTTAAGCATATTTGTGTGTAAGGAGAATAACATTTGGAGGGCAGGCATTTTTAATAACCCACTTGTTTCAAATCTTCCAACTGGAGAGGGGGGACCACAGACGTGGACTGGAGTCCTCATTGTGGCACTAAATAGCTACTGGCCTTGGACCCGGGACTGAAGTCTCTAATGGTCTCAGCTGGCATATGGAGAGAAAGATGATCTATAAGAAGGAGGTGAGAAGAAGCTTGATTCCAAGTCTAAGGACCATCACTGCTCTACTGCTACTGCAATCCTGAACTGTCTTAAAAGGTTTCTTCCCTTGGCCACCACACCTGTTTGAAAACTAGATAATTTTATAGATGTATACTAGAGAATCAAATACTTATAGATAAACTTAACCTTACTAAAGAAAAACAATTTAATAATTAAAAACAAATTTGCAGGTTGTTTTTCCCCTCTTCCTGTTTAACAAAGGGCAGTTCAGGGATGACAAAGCAAAGGGAAAAAGACAGCTGCCACCACCAAGTTTCTGGCAGACCCTGCAACACATGGCCAGGATGATTCTCTCCCCACATGGACACTGTTGAGTAGCCACCCTCTCCTGCTGATTCTAGTTTAGCTAGGTGACCAGCTTGGTTCAAAAGAATAACTGGAAATGACACAGTGAGACTCTGAAGCCTAAACTTTCAGAAGCCCTGCACTTTCCACCATTGCCCTCTCTGGAGGCCACCATCACGTGAGCCAAGTCCCTGCGAGAGAGGCTTTCACTGGGGAGGACCCCCTCTGGCAGAGCATCTGGTTCACAGCGAGTTTTCCTGAGATGGTAGTTCTTATCTAGAGAGACAGAACTTTGATTAGCTGAAGAGAGCAAGTACTATGGAGTAACAGAGAACGAGAAAGGCAGGTGGAAGGAGGTCTGTAGCGTTCAATGTCTGATTGAAGGTCTTGACAGAGGGACTTAATGCTCTGTCCCTTGCTCAGTGCACTCCCCAGGGAGGATAAAGAATAAAGCAAAGCTAGCTTTAAACAGCTGAGGACATCAGACTAAGATATAGGAGTTCATCCTAGACCAAAGCAGTGGTCGAGTCAATACTAATTGGAAATAATGGCAATTATCCTCTTCCAATTACTAAAATTGCAAAGCAGCTACTCAGAGATCTTATCTCAGCAAGAATAAAGCCAGTTAAATGCTGGTTGGTTTTCAGATATTACCCATTAAATCAGAGACCTTATCATGACAAAGGCTCTTTCTGCTACCTCTCTTGTAGTTGGATGACATTTGTGTTGATCCATGCCCCGTGTTGAAGCTTTGCAGAACTGGATCTACAATGTGACAACCATTACAGGAAAGTAAATCATGTGTTTCCAAGCATGGAAGATGAGCTACAGTCACCATTATAAGACGCAGCCATGGTGGCATGCTTTCATAATATTTGATGTAACAATAACAATAATTGCAATGACCATTTTCTGACTAACCAGAAATGGGCCCTCGAAACACCCTCTGGTTTCACCCTTATGGCATCTGTCAATGGAGATGCCACTCTTCATTCTGCAATAGGCAAATCGGTTCAGCAAGATTGTGGGACCAGAGAGCTTATAGTACCAGAGCTTAACTTGGAATTCAAGTCCAGCTGACACCAGTCAACTTCTTAACACTTCTTCAAATAATGTGGCCAACCACTTTCCAGCATCTTGAAAGAAATTAAAAAATGGAGATATGCTTCTTGTCTAGGAAAGATCACATAGGTTTGTTTTTCAATCCACATGTGAAATAATGTAATGAGTGGAGTAACATTCAACAGACACAGAAACCAGAACTGATGAATTGAAACACTTGCATAACACTTAAATCTGGAAAAATGCTCCCTCTTTTTAGGTGGCAGAATGTACCACCAAAAAATAAAAATTTTTTTTTAAAAAAAAAAGGGTATTCCAAGTCCACCTTCCTAAAAAAGAACACACACTCACAAAACAATTTTTAAAATGATCTTCATGGTAAATATTTTTGTTGTTTAATGGACAAGAGATCTGTCTCAAATTTCTTAGAAAATTTTTTTCCATTGTTACCATTACCATTGCTGCTTTGTTTCAGTTGCTATTTGTCAAGTCCAAGCCTAAGCTGCTCTGTTAGGCTTGCAGTGTGGGGACAGTTTCACCCTGTGATCAAGTCCAAGCTCACCTAGAGGGGATGTTGTCCCTGGAATACCCACACCCCTTCCAGCACAGTAACTGCTCATAGGAGCATTCAAAATATGGCAATTCTTATTTAGACAGACATAGCTTGGACTGGCCAGAGGCAGGTAGTGTGAAGTGACAAAGAGACAGGCTAGTGTACTAAAGTAAGTCCTTTAGTTTTTGCCATTGCCCAGGACTTGTCTTGATCAATGTTACACAGCAAAGGGCAACAATCTGTCGTTTTTAGCTTAAATTTTTCTTTAAACAAAATGAAAGGGCAATCTCCTACCTGGCACTCTTGTAGTACTAATCACTAAGTTTTTGTTCTTCGGATTCCATTCTCTCCTCCCTAGCCTAGTGATCTCAGCACACCTGCTGGAGGAGGCCAGTCTTGTAACCCTAGCACTCTCTCCCATTTGCAAATCATGAAATTCATTAAATTCTCCCATTAAGCAGATGAGGGGGCAAAAATGATCACAGGCATTGATACATTGGCTAGGATGCATTTTTCAGATTCTTTTGATGGTTCTTGTTTGGTTGGTTGGATTTTTAATCTACAGCTCTGCACTACACGCAGTACACAAAATGGTTCATGGTAGGATCCAGGAAGAAAATCCACCTCTAGTCACAATGTAATGAAATAACCTTCTCTTTGTGAAGACTAGCTATGATCCAGGCCACTACAAAGATTTTATTTTTTTAAATGCCGGAAATTGAACTCAGGACACTTAACCACTAAGCCACACCCCTATCCCTTTTTTAATATTTAATTTAGAGACAGGGTCCCCCTGAATTACTTAGCACCTCACTAAGTTTGCTGAGACTGCTTTCAACTCAAAATCCTTCTGCCTCAGCCTCCTGAGCTACTGGTACAAAGATGTTTTTGACAACAACCCAGTGAATTAGGTAATGCCCTCACACATGCCAGGTGAGCACTCTACTTCTGAGCCACAACCCCAGCCCCTCTAAAGCCTCATTCTTATCAGTAAATTGGGTATGTTCGGATATTACCTAGTTCACAGTGTTGTTCAAAAAGCATCTTTATGGCTCTTGTGATTTCTGTTTCAATCTCTTACACATAACTAGTGTTTGGCATAAGAATATTATTAAGTAAATATAAATTGAGGTTACTTTTCACTTAGAAATGTCAGAACATGGAATTAATTGGGGCTATCCAAGACTTTGAAAAATCAAAACTGAAAATAACTGATTTAAGAAAAAAAAAAGACCTCTAAAGGAATCCATCACATGTGAGGAAAGATTCCATTTTTTAACTCAGTACAAACATAAGTAATAAATTTTAGGAGTTAGGATGAGAAAAATTCCTTTAAGACTGCTGAGTGCAAATTAATGAGAATTACATTTTATCCTATACAAGTAGTATACTAAATTCACAAGAATGACATCCCTAAATAAAATTTACTAGAGAAGAAAGAAGAGCAAGAGCCTTCCCAAAATCTCCTGAAATCACCATCAATGGAACCTACCTGTAATGTTCTCTCCAACCCAACTAACAAGGTATCCAAAGTTTTCTCACTAAAAAGGGAAAGGAGACTTTACATAAAATACCCAATCTAAAAATAAAAACCATATAAAATATTGAGGATGCAATTTGACTGTTCCTGAGGCAGTTGTAAAACCTCCATTTGGGATCTGACCCTTTAGAATACCGATTTGTTTTTTGAAGTAGTTTTTATGAACAAAACAGCCTCTCATTTCAGTGATGTAAGTGGGTACAATAAACGTAGCTAAGAGTGAAAATGAGGATTTAAATAAATAAAAATAGTATCAATTGTAAGGTACTTCACTCTGCAAATGATTCCATCATCCAGACTCTGTAAATTGGTAGATAGTCCTTTCCCAGGGTCTGTCAGCACTGCCATTCTTAGGACAAAATAAATAATTGAAGAATAAATAACTGTGCCAGTGCTTGGTCTCGGAAGCCATTTTACAGATTGCCATGTGATGGCAGTGCCTTCTTTGTGGCCTTGTGTTAATATGGGATAAAGTTACAGTTCTTGTTTGCTCTGACACTGTGATGTTGGTTTAACACTGTCTGCAACAGAAGGCAGGGGTGGTGGTGGTACATGGAAATTTACTGTTAAAATCTCCACCACAGGAAGAGACAGCTTTGTGTTTTCCAGAGAAAATAAGTCAGGACCTAACCATTACCTTCACAAAAACAGTAGGAAATGAGGCTGAAGAAAGGGCTGTTTTCATAAACAAAAGCATGGGTCGAGACCAAGACAACTAAGCTCAATGGAAAGATGGCATTGCTTGCTCTAGCTTCTGAGCCCTCTCCTAGTCCATCTACCCATCCACCCACAAATATTCTACCAAGAACTCACACCACACTTGGTGTGGGCTTTGAAAACTTACCAAGACAGAAATGTGGCCCTTTCTATACAATTCCAACAGGTCTCTTTGGATAGAAAATGTGACAATTATTAAAGTGATAAACAAGAGCTCCCACTCATTACACACCTACTGCTCAGAAAGCATTGAAACCTGCCCCATTTTACATTTGAGAAGCTCTGAAAGGTTCAGCAACTTGCTCAAGTCTTATGTGCCTATATAAGTAGGATAAAAAAAAAAAAAAAAAAAAAAGGCCAGGATGAAAATCTAGGTTCTCTGCCCAGAATGCACTGCCACCTCTCCTCATCCATCCTACCCCGAGACCCACCATATCAAAAAGAGAGGGGAATTCATCAGAGCTCATGTGGGACCAATATCAGCCTCCCTGTCTTAGTTTCCTCATCTGCAAAATGATAAAAAGGAGCATAGTCACCTCAGAGGTGCATGGTGATAAAACTAATATGTGTAAAGTCAGGGGGCCACCAGTCAGTCCCCTGGAGCTGAGTGGACAATCACAAAATAGTAACTATAATCACGGCTTTCAGAAAGCAGAAAGAGCTGAGTGATTGTCAACCACCTTGGAGTAAAAAAAAAGAGAACTGCATGAAGCAGTTCCGCATCCTACTGAAGATATTAGAATTGTTGTGCAAGTCATTTCCCCATCCCATCGTTGGTAATCTGCTCTTCATAATGCAGCACTTAATTATATATTTACACTGCTACCTAATTATCTGACCCAACAAGACTTCAGCTTACTCTAACAGAGACCCTTTTTGTTTCTCTCCTTCCTTCCTAGTCCCCTGTGACCAGAGCCTTAGTAGTTATTGAATTAACATCAATTAATATTTGCAGGGAACCCTTATTTTCAGAAAACACAATGGGGCCAGATCAAAAGCAAGGTGGAAATTGGTTTGTTGTAGGGAAGGATCCAGCTGTACGTTTTCTCCATTCTTTCAGCCTAATCATTCCCAGTGTGTCAGGGTTTTAGCAAGACATTGAACAAATCTTTTAAGGTAGATTCATGAGGAAAACACTGTTGGTGGGAACTCTCTCCCAAAGGGACCTGTTAATGGGTCTGTGCCAACTCAAAGCAGGTAGGTCCACAGAGATGAATGGAAGGGCTTTGACCTGCTACTACTTTATCAACACGGCCATCAAAAACATGGGTGGCATTCTTACCAAATCTCAAGGAAACCAGAAAATAAGAATGACCCAATACTAGTCTCGAGGGACAGAATCCAATAGTACCTTATTAGACTGGGATTATTTGGGGTCAAATCTATTAAAAAGAGTTTCAATACAGAAATATTGAAAAGTTGTAAGCAAATCCACCAAATGGGATAGAGAAATAATGTTCAATTAGTGACCCCTGTAGAAGTCTTTAACAGATTTCAGTTGATAACTATGATGTGGATTCATGAGAAAAGGTTACACATGAGCTAACTAATTCAATTTTAGGTTACCCAAAGAGAAATAAAGGAATATTCCCATCAATTAAGCATACTGAGGTAGGCATTCATCAGTTAAGTAAGCACTGGCCAGGCATAGTGACACACGACTGTAATCCCAGGAACTCAAGAGGCAGGAGGATCCCAAGTTCAAGGCCAGTACCAGCAACTTAGTGAGACCCTGTCTCAAAATAAGAGATGGGGGTGTAGCTCAGTGGTAGAGCACCCCTGGGTTCAAACCCAGCACCCCCCAAAAAAGGAGGAGCAATTAAGAAGAATAAAAGGATCTATTAAAATAATTCTTTCAGAGAAAGTAAACCACTTACGAACCACTCAAAGCCTGGCATATGTTTTCTAGCATGTACAGGTGAATAAGCTGCCAGAGCATAAATCCTGCCTTGTTTCCATACAGTTCTTTGACAGCTGTGTGTGTGCCTGTGTGTGTGTGTGTGTGTGAGTGTGTATACCTGCATACGCAGGTACGTGATGATTAGTGCCTGACCTCACCAAGTAACAATTACCACTGTACCCACACTGGAAGGAAAACAAGATTCTAATAGTATTCTACATGGTTAGAGTAACACAGGCTCCTATGGAATTTGGTGACTTTCTCTAAATTGCAGCAATTTTTTTAACCTCTTCTCTTTAAAATAATAATAATAATAAAATGATCACTTAATATTTCAAAAGAAATGTGACTTCCACCCATCACTGTTGCCACTAGGTTTTTTTTTTTTTTTTAAAATATGTTTCACCAGAAAGACTAAAAGGAAAATAGATGTTGGCTGGGACACTGCCATGAAAAGGTGGGAGGAGACAGTTTTGACCTTTCTAAGCAAGGCAAGAGGGGAAGGTATGGAGATCAATGGATGCTGGATTAGA